TTAAATTACACTGGTAGTTTAGCCTTGAGCCCTGCTGGGGCAGGCCCAAGGCCTAGTTAGAGAACCAGCATCCCAAGGGCCCTCAGACTGAGGGTGGGGCCCAGTCAGGGGTCCCAGAGCTTAAAAAAAGCTGAGACCTGGATCAGGAAGTCCAAGAGTCCCAGAGTGGACCATGGTGGACTAAGGGCTCCGAGAGCCCAGAAGAGGGACTGTGTGTGGGACCAGGGATCCAAGGATGCAGGAAAAGACCAAATAAGAGACCAGGGGGCCAAGGGCCCAAGGAGGCCAACTCTATAAATAGTTACATCAATGAGAGAGAACACCTGTGAGGCTTGGGGCACAGTATACGGGAAGTGAAGGAGCCGCACAATTTGCCCTTAAGGTTCTTGTTGCCCTATAGGGCCTTAGTCAGGCTGAGAGGGAGATACCAAGCCAGAGGGCTGGATTGAGGCTAGAGAGGTGTCAGGAGAGACCCAGTGGGAACTTACTGGTCTTAGGACTTACTCTAAAGCCTGTTGGCAGCCTCCCTGAATCAACGTAAAATATTTAAGAACAAGATGTGGCAGGGAAATAATCTAGTGAGTGGCATTAAAGTATTGCCTGGCAGGAGCGGTAAGGCCAGTATGGAGGATCACAGCCACCCCTGTGGCAATGAGCCTGTCACAGTAACCTGTTACAGTGTTTTACTATCTCCTAGTGAGAAAATGTTTCCTAACATCTAACCTAAACTTCCCTTGTTGCTCCTTGTTCTGTCATCAGCAACCACTGAGAACAGTCTAACTTCATCCTCTTTCAAGCCCCACTTCAGGCAGTTAAAGGCTGCCATTAAATCCCCTCTCAGTCTCCTCTTTTCTAGACTAAATAAGCCCAGTTCCCTCATACTCTCCTCAGAAGTCATGTGCCCCAGCCCCCTCATCATTTTTGTTACCCTCTGCTGGACTCTCTCCAATTTGTCCACAACCTTTCTGTAGTGAATGACCCAAAACTGAACACAGTACTCCAGATATGGCCTCACAAGTGCTGAATAGAGGGGAACAGTCATGTCCTTTGACTTACTGGTAACACTCCTACCAAAGCAACCCAGAATGCCATGCACACTGTTGGCTCATATTTAGTGTGTTGTCCACTGTAACTCCCAGGTCCTTTTCTGCAGAACTCCTGCCCAGCCAGGCAGTCCCCAGCGTGTACTGGTGCATGGGATTGTTCTATCCTAAGTGCAGGACTTTGCACTTTCGTAGATTCATAGATGTTTGGGTCAGAAGGGACCTTAGCAGATCATCAAGTCCAATCCATTTGTCTTTGTTGAACCACATCAGATTTCTTTTTGTCTTCAGTCTTCCAATTTGTCTAGGTCTCTCTGAATCCTAATCCTACCCTCCAGCATATCTACTATTCCCCCCAGCTTGGTGTCATTTGCATACTTGCTGAGCATGCACTCTATGCCATCTTCCAGGTTGTAGATGAAGATATAGAACAAAACCAGCCCTAAGACCAACCCAGGGAACTCCATTTGAAACCAGCTGCCAACTAGACATTAAGCCATTGATTACTGCCTCCTAAGCCCAATACTCCAGCCACTTTTCTTTCCACCTTACAATCCATTAATCTATCCTGTACTTCCTTAGCTTGCCTGTGAGAATGTTGTGGGAGACTGCATCAAAAGCCTTGCTAAAATCAAGATATACCACATCTAGTGGTTTCCCCACATCCACAGAGCCATTTATCTCATCATAGAAAACAATCGGGTTTGCCAGGCATGGGTTGCCTTTGCTGAATACATGTTGACTATTCCTAATCACCTCCTTCTCCCCTAAGTGCTTAGAAATGGATTGCTTGAGGATCTTCTCCATGATTTTTCCATGGATTGAGGTGAGGCTGACTGGTCTGTAGTTCCCTGAATTTTCCCTTTCTTAAATGTAGGCCTATGTTTGCCCTTTTCCAATCATCCAGGACCTCTCCCAATCACCATGAGTTTTCAATGATGGCCAGTGGCTCTGCAGTCACATCAGCCAACTCTCTAAGCACCCTCAGGTGTATCCCCTCCAGCCCCATGGACTATACGTCCAGCTTTTCTATATAGTTCCTAACCTGTTATTTCACCACAGTTGGCTGCTTACTTCTCCCCCAAACTGTGCTGCCAAGTGCAGTAGTCTGGGAGCTGACCTTGCCTATGAAGATTGAGGTGAAAAAGGCATTGAGCACTTCAGCCTTTTCTGCATCCTCTGTCACTATGTTACTTCCACCATTGAATAAGGGACCCACACTTTCCCTGCTCCTCCTTTTGCTACTGACATACTTGTAGAAATTCTTCTTGTTCTCCTTCACTTCCCTTGCTAGCTGCAACTCCAATTGTGCTTTGGCCTTTCTGACTTCATCCTCGCATGTCCAAATAATACTTTCATACTTCTTCCTCATTGTTTGTCCAAGTTCTCACTTCTTATAAGCTTCCTTTTTGTGATTTAGCTGACTGAAGAGTTCCCTGCTAAGCCAAGCTGGTCTTCTGCCATACTTGCTGGTTTTCCTGCACACTGGGATGGTTTGTTCCTGTGTCCTCAGTAAGGTTTCTTTAAAGTACAGCCAGCTGTCCTGGATACCTCCCCACCTCAGACTGGCTTCCCAGGGGATCCTGCCCATGAGTTCTCTGAGCAAGTCAAAGTCTGCTTTCCTGAAGTCCAGGGTCCTTAGCTGCTTTCCATCTGTCCTTTCCTCAGGATCCTGAACTTAATTGTCTTGTGGTCAACTACTGCCCAAGATTCCCCACCAAATCTTCCCTGTTTGTGAGCAGCAGGTCAAGAAGAGCAGAGCTCCAGCACTTGCACCAGGAAGTTGTCCCCAGTACTCTCCAAAAACTTCCTGGATTTCCTGCAGCACTGCTGTGTTGTTCTCCCAGCAGATGTCAGGGTGATTGAAGCCCCCCATGAGAACCAGGGCCTGTGATGGGGAAACTTTCTCTAGCTGTTTGAAAAAAGCTTCATCCACCACTTCCTCCTAGTCTTGTGGTCTATAGCACACCCACACCATGACACGGCCCTTGCTGCTCTCTCCTCTGACTCTAATCAGGAGACTTTTGACAGGCCTATCTCCAGTTTCATACCAGAGCTCTGAGCAATCATATTGCTCTGGGACATAAAGAGCAACTCCTCCTCTTCTCTCCTTCCTCTTCTTCCTTAGCAGTTTATACCCATCCATAACAGTACTCCAGTCATGCAAGCTCCCACCAGGTCTCTGTTATTTCAAACAAGTCATAGTTCCATGACTGTGCAAGGACTTCCAGTTCTTTCTGTTTGATTCCCAGGCTCTGTGCATTTGTGTACAGGCACCTAATGTAACTAGTCAATTGCCCTGATTTCTCAGGAGGAATGAGAATATCTCCTCTGTTGCTCACTCCTGCTTGCTCTTCCTCCAGGTCACCAACTTACCTCTTACCTCACGGCTTCCCCACTTACCCCACGGCTTTGGTCTCTGTCCCCCAGAGAACCTAGTTTAAAACCCTCCTCACTAGGTTAGTGAGCCTATCTGCAAACATGCTCTGTTCTCTCTTCATTGCAATCCTTCTTCTTGGACCAGCATCCTGTGGCCATAGAAGCCAAAGCCCATCTGGGACTTTTTTAAATTAAAAGTTTGGTTTTTAGTATTTGGAACTAAAAAACAAAATTTAATTTAAAAAAGTTCCAGTATTTTTGATTTTTAAAAGTTTATTAAACTTAATTTAAAATTTAAAAAAAATCTAGATGGAGTCTAACATTGCCATGTTTTGTTAAATTAAATGTTTGAGTTGATCCAAGCTATTTTTTTTATTTTAAATATTTCTGGGGATGGATTGAATCCTGAATCAGTATGGAATTTTTTTTCCAATTTGTAAAAATTCTTCCTGAGAGAGGAATAGATTTTCTGCCCATCTCGTGTCAACTCCTTGTGGGGGAGACAGAACTGCTTAGACTCCATTTGAACCCCAAAGAAGTTAAAGAGGAATTGATGTTTAAGTGATTGGTTGTATCAAGGATGGGATTAGAGACTACTGCACCACTGAAAACCTATTAATAATCTAGTCTTAAAATTTTATTAAGTGTTCAAGCAGTCAATTGGAGACCTGGTTGTGCTGGGCCTATTTTGTTATGTACAAAATTGGTAGTTTCTTTCTTAAGTACATTGTCTGTCAGTCTTGTCTCTTTATCTTGCCTCCTTTTGCACTCTGTAAGTGAACAATATCCCCCAAATCACAAAGGGGATCATTGGTAAAGCCAAGGATAGAACCTAGGCTTTGTGAATACCAGATGGGAGCCCTGTTCAAGGCATTTTATTGCTTGTAGAAGAATAATTGCAAATGATCAAACTCTAACTAAACTCCTCTTTCATATGTATGTTGCCTTTTTCATATTGCCAGTTCCACACTTGTGCCACAACATGCTCAAAATTCTCTCATCACTTTCATTGCTCATTTAGTGAGGGCTGTTTTTCCCCATATTCTTTAGTTTTCTTTGTGACTTGTGTTCTGTGGTTTTTAAATAGATGTTTTCTAAACACTTTTTAAATAGATGTTTTCATCATATTTTAGCTTTGAGATTTATTTCCTGGTTTTGCTCCATGATGCCTTCTATTTTATGGTTTTGACGTTCTTTTTCTTTCCCTTCCAAATTATTGTTCTCTTAGTTTTGCAACAGTAGTTTTCATTCTGTTATTCTTATTCACTTTTATTTTACTTTTTAAATATAAATCCATTTCTTATTATTTTTTGTAAATTCTAACCTTGAGAGAAGATTCTTGTCAGTTCTTCTGGCTTACACAGAAATTTCATGTTAGGAACCCAGACAGATTTATAAATATCTGTGTGGTACAGCAACATTGAAGCTGATTGCAATTTCCCTTTTAATTTCACTCTTGCTACAATAGTGCAGTACTTCAATGTGTTACCTATCATTAACTTTTGATTAAATAATTGTGTAGCTAAACCCTCCCTGTCTGTATATTTCATTTTTGTGACTTATGTGGCAGTTACGCAGAGCTTGGGGCTATTATCAGCTGGAAAAAATTGTGATCTAAAGTTTTGCTTTAAGATTTAAACTTCTAATTAAGGTAGTGTTGGAACAATGCTTTAGCTAAGACAGTCCAAGAAATATGTGAGAGGTCAGGATTTTTGTGGGTGATATCTTTTATTGGAGCAACTGCATTGGTTGCAGTTGCAGATAGATTTAGACTTGGATAAGATTTCAGGTACCAAATATTCTGCTTCAGGTCTCTGGAGGAGACATGGTTCTTGATAATGGACATGGTTCTTATTGGCCTCATATCCTGCATGCAAGTAATTCACATCACTCAAGACACAATGTCAAATGGAAACCATCTGCAGGATTCAATCCTGTTTTTATTACCTACATATAGTGGATAAATAATTGAGCCTGAAAATCATGGAGTGGAAATATGCCATGGATTGGTACCATCTCTTCTTAGAGAGACCAGAGGCAGCATTATCAGAAAGCTTTACAGCCTGTTAAACCTCTCGTTTGTATAGAAATTCCCTTTGTTGTTCTCCTTCCTGGGTGTATGATTCTTGTAAATCTGTAAAGAGCCTATAGCATGTGAGATCAGTATTACAGTTAATTTAACCAAGCTAGCACATGGATGCCATTGCTAGACTTTTAAAGCTACATTTTCTATAGGTCTCCCCAAGTGAATTCAAAGTTTATGGGTTTGTTCACTGAGCTTTGCAACTCCTTGTATATGTAAAGATAGGTACAGGGTTTGGGTGTTTAAGAGGGATTTGCAGGTCAATAGCCCTTAGAGCCAAACTGCAGATCTGCACCTGTGAGTGGTGTTCACAGAGGGCCAAATCCACTTTCAGAGGAGTCAAACCTGTGTATGAAGAAAGTCCATAAACAGTTGCAATGATGGACAGATACCATGGGGTCTTTCTACACAATTATTTCCTAAAAACCTGAACAGTTGCAGAATCTGGTCTCAAATGTTTGTCCCATTACTCCAAAAGTTTTATTTGTCCCATGAAAGAAGAACAAACATAGCACTTAAGTCACAGTTTGCAGCACCAAACTGCTGCTTTTTCTTAAAAGTAACATTTGACCAAACCATTAAACAACCAGCATGGCTTTTTTCCTTTACTTAGCCCCAGGGTACAAATCGTAGTTTTTAACTGCTGCTAATCTAATGTTGAACCCCACTGAGGGGAAAAGGTTGCTGCATAATGATTTTCAAATAGGTGTTTAAAATTAGAAAGCAATATATTTCCTGGGAAATGTGCTAAATTTTTGTAGTCTGCAATTAAATTGCAGAAGGTTTTGAATTAGCAAGAGGTTACCGTATATAGCCATGGATTGAATAATACTGCAGCACTACAGTCTATATTGTCAGTACCATGGGGGTCCATATAGTTTAAGTGAAAACAGCAGAATTCTGGTGTTTACCAAGTCCTCATTATAAATTTTAATAATAGAATGCAGAACAGTTTATATGTATTAGTAGTGTGGGCTCTTATAAGAGCAGTATTTTTGAGAACTTAAAAGCATCGAGAACTTTACATAATTCACCCACCTGGCATCATTGGAGGAAGAAGGGTATGTATAGTGAGGTTATATTTGTACTACAGGAATTATGGTAGTAAAATAAGCCTTCAACTCTGCAAGTTGCTGAGCACCTCTGACACGAGTTGAGAGTATTTTGTGCCTTGGAAGAGACTTGTAGAATTAGTTTCTGAATATATGTAATTCCCAGTTATGGGTGAATGCACATTTTAAGGGGACACCTTAAACAATGCAGTTTAAAAACATCTATAGGTAGAACACTAAGTGCTGGAGCTATATACAGTGTAGTATTACAGAGGGATTTCAGAGTGGAATATTTCATCCAACTATGCTTGGGAGACTCATGTATCTTGGGCACAACCCTAGTTTTAACACACACACATCCTCTTTCTACTTCCTGCACAATCATTCCAGCAGTGTTCCTTTAGTTACTTGACAAGAGCCAGAACACATCATGAACAAGTTATGTCAGGCTACCTCCTTGCTTAAAGAAATCGATATACATAATCAATATACTTAATATTGCTATGGAGGTGCTGATGCCTAATTTTTTTCTGCAGCAATGAGTGGCTCTGAGAGCCCACATTTTGAGATCCCAATTTAACATCCAAAGTCTGGAATGTTTTGTTTTTTTCGCAAAAAAACTGGATGGGTGCTTGACCCTCTTTGAAAATTGGAACTCATTTAAGGCTTCTTGAGTTCTTAGCCCTGCTCCCTCCTCCAAATATTGAGGCATCTAAAATTGCTGCTAACTGTTGAAAATTTTGTCCAGGGACACTTAGCTGTTTTCACCAGGGTGCGCTCTCCACTTCCTGTCCTCTGTAGTTAGCTCACCTACTGCCCAGCTGTGGAGGCCCTGGAGGAGGGTAGCAGGGTGGGGAGCCCAAGCCCAGCAGGCAGGCCGCCCCTCTGCACCCCACTATGCTGCAACAGCTGGGGCTAGGGTGCTTTTGTAGGGGGCAGGAGACTGTAGACCCTGGTCCCTGGCCCCATAGCCCTGGCAAGTGAGGGGCTCCTCTGGCAGGGCTAGGGGGGCAGGGGGCTGTGGGTGGGGAATGAAGGGCACCACAGGGCCGGGGGGGCTGTTGGAGAGGAGAGAGGCCAACAACAGGGCCAAGAGAGGCTTGGGGGGGAGTGAGGGGGGCTGTGAGGAAGGCGTGAGGGGCACTGGGAGGGCCCAGGGGGCTATGGATGGGGAGTGAGGGGACCGTCAGGGCTGGAGGCCTGTGGGTTGGGAGTTAAGGGCCTGGACATGCATTCTGTGAGCTAAGGGGGCAGGAGGAGCTCCAATTTTCCAAGATAAAAACAAATGCTAAATCAAATGCCAAAATTTATAGGTATGTATAGAATGTATTTTATTATAGTGATTGAGGCACTGGTAGCCTTCCAAATTGCTTTAAAATTGTAAATATATTAATTAAAGGTTGTGTTCAATATATATATATATATATATATATATAGATAGATAGATAGATAGATAGATAGATAGATAGAGATATAGGCGCGCACACACGTGTGTGTGTGTGTGTGTAGTGGTGTTTCATTTTAATTGTGGATTATGGGATTTTTATCAGAGAATTTGTGATCGTTTTATCAGAGAAAACCAGAATCCCTGTACATGACTGAGCTTGGACACGCATAACATTTGAACTGTTCCAAAATGTCATTAATTGGGAACTGGTTCATAACTGTTTCAGGAGTGGGTGCAGAAACACATAACAAACTGTTCCCAAATATCACAGATTGTGAACTGGTTCCCACTTGTGTTGTGGCTTTGACACCAGCTGGTGGGAGTGGACACCCAGCCCAGCATGCCTCACAGTGAGTGGGACGAGGAACTTGCACTTAGGAGGTGAGGCCGCAGGCGGTGAGTGACCTTTGGCTGGAGAAATCTTCACTTCTGTGTTTTCCTTTGTCTCCCAAATATGATTTCAATAAACTGTAATAGCCTGCAATTGACTAAAGTTGGTAGTGTGCTTGCCTGACTTGAGGGGCCAAGGGAAGAGGAGAATGCTTGAACCCATACTTTTGAGTTCCCAGGCGCGGGGGTGCATGAAGGACAGAGCTGATAGTTGGAAAGATAGCTTTTATTCTAAGGGATGTGGACAGGAAATCCATTGATTTTAAAAGTGCCAGGAGAAGGAAAAACAAAAGGGACAGTAAAGTTGTGGCTGCATATTAGTGGCCACTTGCAGCACTGGAGCGGAAAGAAGTGGGAGGAGCATGGTATGCCTGGAGGACTGACCAGACACATGTCACAGAATGCTTTGGGTGCCTGTACATGAGTTGGGAGGCTGCTCTGATGCACTGTAATGACTCGATTAATCAAGTCTGCTGGAGCATGGTAATTACCACACTCCATTTAGCCTCTACATCTCATGTATCAGCATCCACGTGCTTCAAAGTGGCAGTGGGGGCACTTAAAGTTCATTTGGGGATGCTGATACACGAGATGCTCTGGGTGCTTTAATTAAAGCGGCTCTATGAGCCACTCTAATTAAAATGCCACCCCCAGCCCCAGAGCATACGTAAAACACCCTTTTTATCTACATGTAATACTGAACAATTCAAAACAATACTTGATTTTCCATGCATGTTTTTGATCCATTCAAGGCAGCTTTAAACAGGATTAACAAGCTTCTGTCTGTCTGCTTCAAGCTTGAACAGGTTTGAATCTTGTTGGTCTAATCGCAGATATCATCTATACTACAAGTTCCAGTTTGAACTGCATTCAAATTGGTCACCACGTTATGTGTGTTCTTAGTCTAACTGCTTCTGAAAAATGTTGTGTGGAAAAACAGTAGAAAATGTGTGGGAGGGCTTGTTCTATCGCTTTGTGCCATATGCTTAATTTAAACCATTTAGACAATGACTCTTTGACTGTATGCAGATAAAATGGGAGCCCTAAATTGAAGCAGTGGGTTTTAAAAAACAGCTCTTCAATTCAGGGTTGATTAAACCCGTGTTGTGCACACACCCCACTGATTTACCTGCCTTTCTGGTGGGGTCGGAAGGGCGAGCTGCCAGTTGGCAGAACGGTCTCTGGGCTGCAGGGGGGACTGGTGCTTCCTTCTGCGGCAGCTCCCCAAGGTGGCACCCACCTGCAGGCACCCAGCTTGGGTGGTCCTGCAGCTGCAGAGGAAAGCACCGTACCCCCGCACAGCTCAAGCAGGCAGGCTCCTGGGGGGGAAAAAAGATCAGGCTTTTCACTTCTTTTGGGCAGAGTCTGCTTTCCTGGGCTGCTACCAGGCTGCCTGCAGGGCTTCCTGCAGAGCCATGGAGCTGCATGGACCCTGGTACTTTGCTCCAAAGCTGTAGGAACAGCAAACTAAAATTCCTAAACTGAAGAATTTTAGTTTGCTGCACCACAAGTCATTTAAGGCGCATTACGCTGTTGAATTTCCTACAGTGACTGGAATTAATATGCAATACACCACTGAGGTGTGCAAACACTGACACCATTCAAGCAGTGCAAAAGCATTTAGCCTGCTTTAAAGTATTGTGTGGACACACCTCTCGTTTCATCTACACATGGCCTTAGGCCACACACTACATATATTACACTATTAACTGGTTAATCATGCAATACATTTAGACCAGTCACATGTGCAAAGTAAGACTGGCTACACGTGCAAAGTAAGCATTGTACAATAAATTTAGACAAGCCACATGTGCAGAGTAATTATTGTGCCATAAAAATGTCCATACAGCAATTAAAAGAGCCAACCAGCTACAAAGTTAGTACTTAAAAATGTGTAATGACTTTATAGCTGGTTTTTATCCACCTTTAATTTGAATGTATGGCAGGTTAAGAGTAGCAAACCAGCAGCCAGATAATGCCTTACCATCTTGCATGGTCTACAAGTTCTAGTGAAATGAGTTTGACTAGACTGCATAACCCAAGACAGACAGAGACTACTCTTCATTCCAAACTTGTGCCACTAATATGTATAACTCCATAGAATCATGCATTTTATTTATACTACTTTTTACAATAAGATTGTAACATATTTCTAAAATAGTTGGAGCAGGCAAATTTTACTTACATGAGTTCCTCATAGGTCTGTACAGTTAGGCTAGAGACAAACATTACACATAAACCAGTTTATATGATCAGAAACTTGTTTAAATCAGTAACAGAACTGACAGCCAGTGCACATAAACCAGTTTGAAAATGGCCAAAACTGGTTTGAGATAAACCTGACTGAATGTAATATCAGACTTTAATGATTTGCCTCAAACTGGTTTATGGATTGTCTGTCCCAGACTCCTTGCTTAAGTTAAATCAGACTTCACCAGCATCCTGGCATGCTCTCAGGGCTGGGTGGGGCTCTGCTCTTTGCTCTGGGCTGGCACCTTCCTTCTGCTCTCTAGCCAGACCAAGGCCAGGGCATGGGCAGACACTGGCCTTCCATGGCCCCTGAGGCAAATTCCTCCCTCCGTCCTCTACCCTGCTTCCACCTGCAGACCGCATCTGGGGTTTGCCAGCCCTGGCTGTACCTCCACAGCTTGCCTGCAGCCAGGCAGGGCCGGAGTTAATTCCTCCCTGTCCCCTCTCTCCCCAAGAACCTGGTGGGGGGGGCATTGGCTGCAGTCTCAATCATCACACATGTGCTGGAGATGTAGTTAAGGGAAGTTGTAGACTGCTTCACCAAAGAATGCAGAAAGCTACATTTACATTATAAAGCAGAACCTGTAAAAGCTGAGAATACTTAAACACAGCTTTTCTGAATGCCTGGCTGTAAGGAGACACACGATTATATAAGACTTATGCAAAGCTTTCTCTTGTCTTCCTCATTTTACATTTTAAGTTAGACTAAATTGTGTATGCTGTGTTTTACTGGGCTGTATCTTAGCTTAGGCAAGATTTTTGGTAGTTCCCTGCTGTATGCTTTGTAAATTGCTGTGTTCAATACGTACTTGCTTCAGAGAAAGGACTTGTTCCCCACCTCTACTCCTCAGTCTGGCAGCAACTGCCACATCCCCTGTGTCCTGCTAGCCCTGGCTGGTGCCTGGCCACACCCCCTCCACTCCAGCAGGGAGGGGAGAGAACCTTAGAGGGCATCTCTCTTCCCTCCCCTTTGACAGTGGCTGGCAGGTGTGCTCGAGTGGCCCCCGGCTTCTGGTTTGAGCCGTTGCAGGCATGTGGCTGCATTTCCTGGTTTAACAGAGACTGTCCAGTTATTAATCAGTTTAAGCTGCGCAGCTTAGACTAACCTGAAAAGAGTGAATCAATTCATGCTCAGGCTTTTTGAATGTCTGTCCCTAGCCTTTAGAGAGTATGAAGCAAATGATAGTGGCTAAAACAGGCCAAATCATACTGAAAGTAAACTTTAAAGCTAGGGAAGGAAGTTACATATAAACAAGTTTAAATTATCAGAAGCTGGTTTAAACCTGTAACAGAACAGATGTTCAGTGCACATGAACAAGTTGGAGAATGGCTGAAACCAGTCTGATGCTACATTCAACCAGGTTTATCTTAGACTTAACTGATTTGGGTTAAACCAGTTTATGGAACTTCTATCCCAGACCCCTTCCTGCTTTAAGTTAAATCAGAGTCCCTCAACTTCCTAGCCTGCTTTTCAGCCCTGTGCTGGGCTGGGCTGGGCTGGGCTGGGCTGAGCTGTCTGGTCCAGAGAGCATAGCTGGCCCCACCCCTTTCCTTCCTAGCCAGAGCTCCATCTAGCTGAGACGGGGTGACGGATGGCATCCGGGAAACAGCAGCATCTGCCTGGCTTCCCCCTGCCCCACCCTCCCCTTGCTTGCTGCTCAAGCAGGGATCCCACCCACTGCCCCCCCACCCCAACCCGAGCCAGCATCTGGCCATGCCGCCCCTATGCTAGCTAATGCTGAGAGGTGTCTGTGCATGTCTCCAATTTCACTGGAACAAAGGCAGACAGGACAGTGTCTGCTTAGAGCTTTTTGGAATTAATCAGCAGGTCAACTGGTTATGTTCCTCCCTTTCTTCCTTGGAAAAAAGCTGTTTAAAAAGAGCTTGAACTAATGAGAATGGCTTTGTCTTCTTGATGGGCTGATAAGATGCTTGCTGGCTTGCTTGCTTCAAAGGCTACAAACTGTCAGTGTTCAAGAGGGGACAGAGAGAGGTATGAGAAATGCCTGGGACCTGCGAGTGCCGTCAGTTTGCTGCAAACAGTATGAAAAAGCAGGGAGAGGGAGATTCATCTCAGTATCATCAACAGATACACAAGAAGTCCTCCCTCCTCCAATGCCCCACTTTGCCTCAGAGTGCTAGCCAGGGGCTGGCAACACTCCAGCCCCTTGAGCAGTGAGCTGGGAAAAACCTGGCAAGGGCTGCTTCCCCCTCCTCCTCCAGGCATACTCCAGCTGGGAACTCTGCAGGTCAGGGTGGGGGTTTAAACCCCTCCCTAATCATAGTGTCCTGCTGGGTCCTGGCCACTCACCTTCTCAGCTCAGCACTGTAGGAGGGAAGGGAGGGCTACTGTAGTAACCCTCGGCTTCTAGCCTGAGCCACTGCAGGC